TGGGGAGTAATACTTTTGATGCCCAGATGCTAATCAGAAGATAGTGTTTCTGGAACTATTGGAACAAAAAAAGGTTAACTTCACAGCGAGGTTTCAATTTCTTTCTAACTAAATATTGAGTAAATAGAACTATGCTTAGAGAAAAGGGCACGCTGACCTGCACTGGAAAGCACATTTTTTATTTCTTCCCTCACTGTCAGAATGTATCACACATGTCATGAATATAAATAGGGTAGACCTGGGTCCAAAGTCTCTTATTAATAAGATGCTTATTCACCTTCACCAGTTTGTTTCTTTGCTAATCCTGTGCAAATCAAAAGGGGAAAACCCCAAATTACACAAGAAAGATTGCTGAATGTTAATCTCGCTTAAATTAAGTCAGAAACTCCTGAGACTTTTCTAATTCTATTTAAATTAAGAGCCTCGGCTTCTAAAACACATGTCTAGGCATAGAAAGGAAAAAGAAAAGTAAGTTAGACGTAAACAAATGATCAAATTGAAGTAAGTAAACATGCGTGATATTTTAGTTCAATGTAGATTCATGTCTACCCACTTCCCCTCTGCCTGGATCATTTCCTGTGGCCAAAAACTCATTTCCATTCCATTCATATTTAAGCTATCAATTTCAAGCGTTCTTTCTTTATATTTAGATCATTTATTTAGCCTGGTTTCTATAACAATAAAAGTATAATATGCTAAGTAGACGGGATGTCCTTCTGGATGTCTTTCCTTCCAGATAAAGCCGCAGTTGGCAGGGGGGCCATGGAGGGCAGCAGTGGGCGGAGCCGGGGCCAAGGCCCTTGCACAAATTTCATGCATCGGGCCTCTAGTTTTCCTATAAAATTACTAATATTGAGACTAGTTACATCTCTTTATGTAAGAGAATTTGATTGTCATGGAAATGATAAAAATCATATAATTTGACTTTATAGCACAGAAGGATGATACAGCTTCTTTTTAACAATAATCACAAAAAAACACAGGTGTTTTACATGCTTCTTCCATAATTATTTTTGAGCTTTTATATTTATCAATATGCAAAAACATTACGCAGATAGATTAATCTGTGCTGCCACTTTACTAAGAATGATGATGGTGGTGATGAAATTGTTTTGCTCTTACATTTGACCATGACCATGTAAACATCAATAGTGCAGATAGGAGGCTGGGGCAAACGTTCTCCTTTCTCTAATAAATCAGGGATTTCTCGGGTTGGAATTCCATCGTAGGGTTTTCCTCCAAATGTCATCAGTTCCCATATGGTGACTCCTAAATTGGAGATCAAATTCTTATGTAAGCATATTAACAACATATTTTGAACAACTGAGCAATACACAAGTGACACAGGAATGCTCCCCAGAGGGCAACTCTTCTGATTCCTATACTCATGTTTAGACGCCCAATGACAAATCTTTGTAAGAACTTTAATTACTTTATTATTGTCTTGAAAGTTTCAATGGGTAACCAAGACATTTCAGGATGGATGTCAGAATAAATAGTCTGTTCCCTATTTATTACTTATAAGTAATGCTGATGTTTGCTGACCCAAGTTAAGTTTCACTAGACCGCATTAGAGCAGGGAAAACCATTTATTTACTATATACACATGTATTCAGCACCAAGTAAACACGATTGCAGGTAAAATCTGATATTGACTAAATTCAAGATTAACATATTTGCTATTAAATGCTCTACAGGCTAAGCTGGTGTTCCTGAGTGACTGGCTTTTGTTAGGATAAATAATTGTGGCTCCCTTTTTAACTAACACAAAGATAACAAGTGGAATAAAAATAGATTAATTTCTTCAGGACATATGAGAACCTGAGTGAGAAATAATCCATATGTAAGATATTATACATGTGAAGTGGGGATCACAAAATTAAAAGAAATTAATAATCATTTTTCTTAGATAATAAAATAACATTCTTGAATCATCAGAACATTGATTTTCTTGGTAAAAGCAAACACCTAAAATATGAGCATGCAGATAGCCAGCTTTGATAATAATAATGATTTTGATTTGAGCAATAATACATACATTACAGATCTCTTCTTCAATATGATCTAGTAATTATATGACTAAATGTATAGTTTTCCTGAGAATAAAGACTCTACATTCAGAAATAGGTATCTGGGCAATAGTATTATCAAGAGAAGTGTCACTGATGCATATATTCAGTATCTTTTAATATAAAACCTATTAATTAAGGCTATGTTTTCTTTTCCACTGCCATCTGTAATAAATTATTTATTCAAACTGAAGTCTTTTTTAAGCTCATAACACTTCTATGAATGAAAAAAAAGGTGTTCTATGGAAAGTAACCTCACAGGGTGATCTGATCATAAATTTCTAATTGGGCAGCTCATGGTGGGTAGTCATGTCCTAGGCATGTAACTTTTTAGTATCATATAACATTTTAGTATCATTCATTTACCATAGCTCCAAACGTCACTCTGATGGGTGAATTTCCTATAGTGTATACACTCCAGAGCCATCCATTTAATTGGCATCTATAGAGAAATAAAAAAGTGAAAATTTTATAGTTATATAAAAATATTTTCTATATTGATTTCTTAAATGTGAGTCTTGCTTCAATTATATTTTTTGACTGTGTATTGCAAATGTAAATATGTTGTTTTCAATACAGGGAACAAATAAATTGACCTTTATAAATTCTTAAAATGAGTTAACCCAAAGATATATTTACTTTTAAAATCTTCATAAACAGAGAAAACGAAAATAACAAAATAAGCATCATTTTTATAATTCTTAATTTATGTAGTAATTAAACTTAGCTAATATTGTTTTACAATTCTAAACACCAACACATGTACTTCTATAAAATGGGATCATATTATATCTCCTCCAAAATCAGATTCCTTGAATTCTCACTTATCCCTTCTTACCCTCAGACAAATGTCAGCCCACCAGTAAAATAGACGCTCCACACTTGCCCCCTTCCCTCTCCTTTCATATAATTTGTTCACTAAAACACGTAATAAAATAAAAAATCCAAAGTTAGTCTTGCTCTGGTCCTCAACCCAAAATGATCTCTCTCATCTTGATTAGCTAGTGTTGAAAATTTGAACCATTTTCAGTACAGAAATTATATAAAAGAATGTGAGGGAATCAGTACAAAACCCACCATCACTACAAGAAAAACAACGCAACTCACATACCCTGCTGCTGATGGGTCAGCAGAATGAGTTTCACTATGAAGAGCAGCATTATATAGCTGAAAATATAACTAGATTCTATGGAATAAAGATAAACACTGCTACTTGGCAGTTGAAAGCTTAAAACTAAATAGGCCTTTGAAAGCATGAGGTTGGCTGCTCACCAAGGTGATACCAAGGTAACTCCATGACAGAATCATGGCATTCAGTGAAAGGGAACAGAAGACACATTGAAAATAATTTCCCTATGGGCAAGGAGTTAGCTGACTTTATGGATTGCGGACATTGTGGTGAAGAAGTAAGTTTAAATCACAGGTGGCTTGATAAAGACTTAATGGTTACTAGGCATTTAAAGCTATAATGAATCTTGCTTTAGACGAATCTTACAGCTGTATGTTCTCAAGACAAGTGAAGTCATGTGATTTATAGACTTTTGCTCCTGTGCAATCTTGCAGTGAATTTCAAAGCTGTGGTCTCAAACTGCTGTGATTGGGTAATAAACAGGCAAAATAGGCTAATAAAATCAAGGAAAAAGCCAGACAATACTACAAAACTGCAGTTGTATTTTTAAAAATAAATTTTGTATTTTTGTGCCTTGTGATAATATTTGAATACATATGGTTATATAAGAACTGAATATAAAAATCAATGATAAGCACTTGGAAGTCTATCACTTCAAAATATTTACAAAATATATTTGGATGGTCCATGATGAATAAAGCATATAATAAACATACTATTTATATTAAATATGAATGGCAATTTTTTTGTTAGTATTGGCATTGGGTCACCAGAAGTTAAGGCTGCATTTTTGTTTTTTCATTTGGCTTCTCCTGATCTAAGTTCCCCCAAGTCCAGCTAGAAGGACCTCCACAAGAAAACCATACTGGTTGGTTAGCCAAGAATGGGAAAAGACAAGATGCAAGCCATGAACAGCTGGTGGGTTAGAGAGGCAGGGCCACAGCTGTCAGGCAGAGCCTGGGGCTGGAGGGTCAGAAAAGTTAGGAGAAACTGTAGCTATTCAGACCCCTGGGATATAGCAAGTTACATTTCAGTGGAAAGAGTTAAGTGATAAATAAAGTAAATTGGTAACTCCTACACTATGATAAAAGCTAAAAACAAAAAAGTCAGAGAAGAGGAATCTGTTTAATCTGTTATAAGAGGATTAGAAGTTAAATAGGATGGTCAATCTTCCATGGGTCTAGGTAAGCAGCCTAGCTTCTCTCCAGCCTATGAGAGAGCAATTGTATCCTCTGTAAGAGTCAGTTCTATGCTCTTAGGATCAATGCAAGGATTTCTATAGCCCTCCATTAAAGTTTAATTTCTGGAGTCCCTCCCTAAGGACCCGCCCACTTTCCCACACTGGGCCTGACATAAGGACTGCCTGGGTCCAGACATGCATTGTTTTGTTTGAACTACTTTTGAGAAAGAGAAGTTGGCAATAAATTCTCTCTGTATATTTTTACCCTGGCAGGAGAAAATGTAAATGATAGAATTGGGATTATGTAATCTCTTAAATCTCAGGCTTATTGACTTCTTCTTATAAAATATAAGTAGATTAAAGGATACCATAATATGCTTACAAGCAACATTGCTCTCAGAAAGATACTCACCTTTCCTCCATCAGCATTATACTCCTTTTCATCTCCTTCCAAGAGTCTGGCTAGTCCAAAATCTGTGATTTTCACATGGTTTGGAGATTTCACTAAGACATTACGGGCCGCCAAATCGCGATGAACAAGCCGTCTTTCTTCCAGATACATCATTCCCTGAAAAACACCAAGTTCCCCAATGACAGTCAGTTAATGCCTCATCTTTTCTGTTGATTAAAAGGGAATTTTCAGCATTTAGTTTAAAATGCTTAATTTTTCTAAGTGAAGTAGATTCCTGGAATATTTTCAAAATTAGGGAAAACCTGGGATAAAAAAGTCAACAACAAATAGCTTTTTGCCTTTTCTCCCTGGATTCCTATAAAGAAGAATAAATTACCTGCACACAAGCTAACGTTAGATCATTTTTTCCCTAGAGACTTGATGTTCTTTTGCAAACACTCTCATTACTGAGGTGTGCAGGTGTCTTTGTAGATAAGCTAACATATATTTGGAATGATCCACATATTCCTAATTGTTTTCTTCTCAATAACTCCTGTGCCATGTCATCTTCCCCATACATGCCTGCTCCAAACAAATACAACTATTCATTACTTTGGAAGGTATTTCATATAAAGATTTGATGATGCCAAAAATCACTATCATAGGTTCTATCAAGGCTGCAGAATTACATTATTCTTATTAATTATGCAAAAGTGAAGAATACCCTGCAGCCATTAAAAGCCTGTAATTTAAAAAAAGGCTTCAGTGACATTTGTAGTGGTTATAAGAACACACGAATGAAATTACATAGTTTTAATGATCCTCAAAATAGCTTTTAATATGTTGTCTTCATGAAACATATAGGGTGATTAAAAATAAAATATATTGCTGATTGCCAACAAGAGATATAGCTAACTCACCCTACAATATAACTCAGCCCACCAGTAATGAAGGTTGCATACTGGCAGTCTATGTATATATACATATGTATTCAGATATGCATATGTTATATCTGTCACTTATGTATAGATAACATATATTAGTATTTACAAAGATTGTTAAAATTTCATAGAAACAATAATTATTAATGGTTACCTCAGCAGTAGGGGAACTACGAGTCATTATACACTAGCTTTAATGAAAAGGTTAATATAAAGCCAAGGAAATGAATTCAGAGGCCTAGAGTGAATATATTTTGTTTAAGTAAATATATTTTTATTAAAGAGTTAGAGGGTATTCTTTATTGGAGGATTTCAGTGGTAAAAAAGAAAAGGTTGTCATTCCAAAGCAAATCAGAATTTTTGTAAATGGTTAAAGCATACTCTCATGCCAATTGCAAATCAATGCAGTTGGCAGTTAACATTACAACTTCAGGACTTTGAAGGATTAATGGTTTCTGATATCAAAACAAAAGCTGTGGAAAACAGACACATAAATCACACAGGTCAGAAAATTATGAACTGTGTGCCCAGTGTAGTGTAAAGAGAAGATTGCTTCCAACAACATCATGAGCCAAACTCTATATAAGTGTCCATTAAACAAAACCAGTGGAGACAGTGCCTGAGATGGTCCAATCAGTCAGCAGTTGGTGACACCACATGTATTAGTGTTTTCTGAAATCAACCCATGACTGGGATTTATGGGGGTTTTGCCCTCTTTTTTAAACAGTGCTTTCTATTTGATTATGCCAAACCGGACATTCCTAGAATAAAGTGAATCTGAAAACATATAGTCCTTAGGTGACTTGAAAGATGAAAAAACAAAAAACAAAAAAAAACATATTGCCTAAGAGATAATCATCATTAATTTTGTCATTCTAAGAAATGTCTACAATAACATTCATTATTCTCTTTCTTACCACACTCGTATCAGAATATGGAAAGTGTGTAGGCAACTTAATATTCAGATCCACACACAATTACAGGACACACATACTATGTGCCTAGCACTGTGCTATACACCAGAGAGACAAAGAGTCAAAGTCTTTGCATTAAAAGAGGACAGAGCTAAGTTAATAAAGTGGGCAGATGTGGAATACAAACTCCAGTGGATCGGGGTGATGCATGTAAGGCATTTAAGACAGCTGTACCTTAAGGACTGTTTGTAGTACAGCCTATCAAGCCTATATGAGAGAGAGGCTTTAAAGAGATACTGAGTGATAAGTAAGATTTGAATAATAGCCACCAGTTGGACAAGATGAAGGCAAAGCTGCAGATAGAGAGAACAAGTACAGGGGCATCAATAACATGGCATACTAGGACAAAGGCATGTAGTTCTGTCTTTCTGAAGAATAATATATAAGGGAAAGGGAATGGTGAGTGGTAAAACAGAAAAAAAAAGGAGAAACTAGACCCAAGAAGGGTCTCTTTCATGTCATGGTAGAGAATTTGGCCTTTCATTTTGTGCAGCATTCAATGTAGTGATGCAGAAGTTGTTCTAAAAAAGAGAGGGAGACAATTATCGGTGTCCTGAGGATAGATTGGACACAAATATAGCTGAAGTCAGGAGCCACTGCCACAGCCCAGAAGAAAAGAGATGAGAGTGTAAAATGTGCATACTGGCAGTCTATGAGCTATATTCATTTTTCATATATATTTTTTCAGTTCCCATACCAGGCAAGTTTCGAACATCCTCTTTAGCTAATTATTAGATATACCCCCTTGAGAGCATCTGGCCTTCTGTTTCAGGATCCCACTATTTTGCTAGTATCCTTTATGATACTCATCCAGCTTCTACATACACGAGTGGGCAAATCTTCAACTAAACTAGGCCAGAAAGAATATTCGAAAATAGATTTCAAGGTAAATTTTTAAAATAAAATAATTATCCTTGTTAACTGACCAAATAATAAAGGATAATAACTTGAGAATAATTTTGTGTGTGTGTGTGTGTGTGTGTGTGTGTTCTATAATTTGGGTAGATAATGATTCCTTTAAGTAAATATTATCCTAATGGAAATACCATGTGTATATTTCTTAAACATGTGCAGGAATAATGGTATATGCTATACCAATGGGGAACTAACATTCACCAAGACTCTAATGACATATTCTATGTTACAAGCAAAATTTCAAAAACTCTAAAGTTCTTTGTAACTCCTTATACAAAGCCTCAGCAGGTGACATAGTATCCTGAACCTCAATAATATTTATCCAGAAAATGTATTTTCTTTAAAATAATGAAAAGTCATTTCAGGAAACCAGACAACAATCTCTATCCGATTTTCAGCACCCACCCGACCATCATTAAAATAAATAAAAACAGAAGCATCTATGTTATTACCAAGCCATCAAAATACATTTGTATGGTTGCTTTGTAACTTGAAGCATCATTGTACAGATGCACACTTTCAAATCCTTAATTTTGAATGCCACCTTAGTTCTACTTTCACACCCTGAAGTAGAGTGTTGAATCGTCTATGGATTGTTAACAACAGTTTCTGCACATCACAGTCATTAAGATAGGATTTCTTTATTTGAAGTTCTCATTAGAGTCATATTCACTGCTAGATTCCTTCAAAATGAAATCACTCTTTAAATCAGAATGTGATGCAATTATGGAAGTAAGTAGTTATCAGAAACAGACAAAAATAAACTGATATCCCTTAAAGTTCAAAGATGGTTAAAGAACAATCACTCATGGTGATAGAGGGATACAGTATTGATTGAAAAGATACCTTTTACTCTGCCCTGTTGAAACTCTCATGTCCTTACCATGCCAGCTCAGGTGGAGTACATTATGGGAACAGGGACACTGACAATCACAGTTAAAACTGACTGAGTACCTAGAACATGGCAAACATTAAACTAAACACTTCTACATCCGTAGGTTAACGTAACCCTATGAGATGCATACTGATTTCATCTCAATTTAAATATGAGAAAACTGATGCTAAGAGAGGTCAAGGCACTTGGATTTGATCCCTTGCTGTGGCCCCTAAATCTGCACATTTAAGCCTACCCCCTCTCTCCATAGGTCACAGTATCATGTGGGCATACAAAAATCTATGTACACAGCACAGTCATATAACTATAAAATATTCTAGTACTTTTGAGAAAAAATATTAGATATTTCTGTGAATTTCAGGGCATAATGCAAGTGATTGAGTTATTTGCATTTATATTTAAAATACAGCTAAATAATAGAACCTTTTATAATATAGCAGGGATTTGAATTGTATAAATTGGAAACTCAGTTCTTGCTTTGGCCCCAGGGTATGCAGGATGTGTGGTGGGTTTGAGGGCAGATTCTGGAGTCAATTGCCTGAATCAAACTTGAGCTCTGCCATGTTCCAGCTGTGTGACTCTGGCAAGTTAATTAAAATCTCTGTCACTCACCTTCCTCCTCTTGGAAACAGCCATAATAGCACCTATCTCACAGGTTGTGGTAAAGATTAGATAGATTAATATATGTAAAGCACTTAAAAAGTAACTGTCACGTAGTAAGTACAGAACAAGCATGTTTCCATTATTGTTCCATATTTAGATATAAATAGTTCTAGTGTTCATAAGAATCACCAACCCTCATTAACTTGAATTGCCTATTTCAGAAAATCTATGAACCTAAACTAATATATGTCACAGTTGGTATTCAATACATGTTTGCAAATTATGATACATATACCCATAACCTACTTGTTATTAATGTGTAGATAGAAATTTGAGAACCATTATTGTTCAAAGTATTATTTTAATACTAGTATAATACACCTGAAGATGCTATCATCTAAGGAGAAGAAAAAATTAGGGAATCTATTAAAAGATTTGGTGCCCTCCATAAATACATCACAAATTCAGAAATTTAGTGAAGACAAAGTTCATGAACAAGATAGGTTGAAATTTTCATTACTGGAGAATATTGTCCACGAGTAAGTAAAACAGTAGATCTGTTGTACCAAAGTCTCTGCCTTCTATCACTCAGCACTGAGGGGACTTTTTTGTAGACTTGTTTTAGGGGCATTTAAAAATATGTTTATATTGATTTTAGAGAGAGATGAAGGAAGAAGGGGAAAGAGAGAGAGAGAGCTGATAGAGAGAGAGAAACATGGATAATCTCTTGCATGCCCTCTACTGGGGGTCGGGCTGGCAAACCGGGCATGTGCCCTGTTCCAAAATCAAACCAGTGACCTTTTGTGCATGGGATGATGCTCTACCAACTGAGCCATATCAGCCAGGGAT